GGTCTGGACTCTTCTCCGATTGCCAATTGCCTTAAGACCGAGGAACAAGTGCAGAATCAAGGACGTACAGGTGAGAGAAGCGATGCCTATGGGTCGGCATCGGTCATGTTCCTTGTCAAGCGTGAAGCAGAGTCTACTTCTCAGAGTTTTCGTGGACTGCCGCTCTCTGTTACTTCAGAGTCGACCATTATCACTCCCGCTGATTCCCTTAAGTCGGATAAGTTGCATTCTAGTAAGCAAATTCCATCTATGCGCAATTCGGTGAAGTTATTCTCAATTCCTGATTTTCATTAAAAAAATTTTGACCTACCCTTGTTTTCAGCACAGCTCCCAGAACCTCGTCTGTCGCTTCCAAGTCCCTCAAGGAGGTCAACTTTGGTTCCATCTCTTCCTCAGCCCGAGTATCAACCCGCGGACTCTTCTGTTCCATCGTCCGCCCAAATCCATCTTTCTTCTCCGTCCATTACAGGACAGGAAACTTCAGCTTCGAGGAGGACTAGCGTCTTATTTAACGGTTTCCCTGTTGGCCCTAAGAGTTCTATTCCTCCAAGAACAGGCCCTCTTCCATCGCCTCTCCAAGAATTACTTCTTACAACCGACTCTAAAAGTCAACCGCAGTCACAACAAATGCGTCCTGATTTTACAAGACCAATATCCGTCTCTTCGTGTACTTTTCCAAATTCTCGGGTTACTGATGGCGTTTGTTTGGACCCTCAATTTGATGAAAGCCTTTTGCTGAATGCTCAACTAGCCACTATCTTGGATTCTCCTTGTGGCCCAAATAGAAAAGAGGAAGCAGCTATTGGCAAGACAGCCGTTGGTGACAAAATGAGGATATACAAGCTGACGCAGAGAGATGAGCAAGAACACATTACGCTTGCGAAACAAAAGAGGCCAAACACAGAGCAGGGCAACGTAGAGCATTTGACAACTGATAAAGGCAATACTAATGGGCCTGATGAGAGAGCTTCATTTTCCTTTCAGGGTCATTCAAAAGAATATCCCCAAACCCCTCTTATGCCAGTTCCCTCACAAGTAGGTAACATAAATAAGATGTGTTCTTTCCTGTCTAACTCGTTACACGATGCATTCTTGCTGCTCTAATTGTCTTGACCGTGGCTTTCATGCAGGCTGTTTTTTGTGGTAGAGGTAGACTATTAAGGCGGAATTTCTCCAGAGAATGGCATCTTTAAAAGTGAAGACTGCTCTTTCTATGTAAAAAATGTATATATTATATATATATACGGTAGGGTCTAAAAGTCCGCCACCAAGAGCTATGTTTATTTCATCATTCATAGCAGGCTAATAAAAATGTTTACTCCGTTGATAATTTTCGGACTATACTGCCTAGCTGTATGCTCACCCTATTTCGTTTAGGGTGATCAAGGACTGATAGTTGAAGTTTTGCACAATCAGATGAGTACGCCTTAAGCTTCTATTGAATTTCACACTTAGCCGCCTTGCTTCCCAAAGGGTAACCTCTCCAGGCAGGGGTAGACTGCAGTTTCGACCTCAATTAAACTGGTCTCGCCAGCACTCCCGGTGGGATTCGAATCCGAGTTGTGGTGTTGCAACATACAATCTCGACACGCTAACCACTACGCTGGACTGCCATGAGTGTCCTTGGGTCACAGGACAGAGGCGAGTCTCAGACACAACAGAATGTGATATGGGAAAATGTCTACTGCAATCTTAAGATCCGAGTCCCAATGGGGTTGCTGATGAGACCAGTTCAGACGGGGTCGAGACTGCAGTCCACTTTTACCTGGATAAAGATACCTTTTAAGAAATTCAGTGTAAACCTAAGGCCTACTTATCTGATTGCGGGAAAATTCCATCATCTTAAACGAAATGTATTGCATGCAGCTCTTTTATCAGGTATTATGGTAGTCTCGAGAAACTCATCTATGAAACTGAAAATACTACATTATTTTTCACCGGTATCTAAGTCACACAGTGGAAGTTCACTAGGCTTTGTCAGCAAAAGTTTGTTTGTATTTGCTGAGAGTCAAAATGTGTCACTATTTGCTGAGACCAACTTTTGCCTAAATCACCACTTGCCCTCTATCTGTCGCCGATTCTGCAAGTTTTTGCAGAATTTGAAAACCCACGATATTCCTGTACTTTTTTCAAATGTTCCCAAAGATGTCGAGTAGGGTTAAGGTCTGGTGACTGTTGAGGAGGGCAAGCCCTGCAAGTCAGTGAATCCCTTTCCATACGACTTAAAACCAGAGGTAATGATGGCATGTGGTACTTCTCCGGCTTAAAGTTGTATTGAAAATGATCAAAAAGATGCACTAAAACAGTGACAGGCTTATTTGGAGTAGAAGGAAGAGCAAGAGGCACCGGCTTGCATAGCTTTTCTTGATTGCTAACGATGTTACAAGGAATATCAGCCTACAGTATTGCAATGACATAAGAATTACTGCCACTACCAAAGCCAGATAACACCCTTTGATAGATTTCTTTATCTTAGAGAAGGTTCATATATTTTATAAAGATTTCACTGGCTCTACATGGCCGACTTTTTTACTATTCATTGATAAATAATTTTTATACTTCTGTCAATGAAAACGCGAAAAGGAATGGCCATCTAGAGTCCAATCCTTGGGATGACACTTTAATTAGCCGTGCTAATTAACTTTTGGCTTTAACACCTATTTTCCCGTCAGCATATGTTCATGATATAGATGCTAGTTGAGAAGAGTGACCGTGAATGTCACAACATTAATTGGCTCTTGTGCTGAATGCCGGCATTAATAAATTTACCTCACATTCGACTAAGCAAGGTTAAAGTGTAATCTGACCTTGAGCAGAAGTAACAATTGGGATGCAAGATGTATGTGGCCGAGTTGAGCAACTCATGTCTTTCTTAGCTTCATCCTTAAAAATGCAAAAAATGGTATACGGAAGTATCGCACAAAGAGTTGTGTCCTATTTCTAACCACCAGCATTATTTTTTTTAAATTTTAAGCTGATTTTTCATTAAATATGATTATCACTCTTCCTCTACTCACATCTCTTCTTCCCCTTCTTCGTCGCTCGACTATCAGTCTCTTGGATATATTCGTCTGCCTGACGCCACTCTTGCAGCTTTCACCTCTCCTGCCGACATCAAAAAATTTAATAGCCCCTCTTTCCTTCCTCCGGATATGAACGACACACTCACCTTTTCCATGATGGATGAAGCCATGCTTGATCAGGCAAGTATATGCCTTTGGGCCTTGATCCCACGGTGTAGTATTAAATCTCAAAGAATTTCGCGTTTCGAAAAAGGTACTTACCATTCGAAGGTGTGAAGACCAAGATGGTGTGGCCTTTTGTGTGGTCGCAGTCCCCTTTCGTTGTATAGAAGTTGTTTGACCTTATGATCACAGCATGGTCATATCGGTAGGAAGACTTAGAGGAGCACACCTAGTCCGGAGTCCATTCTATGCACGATAATTTCCAGAGTCGGAACGTGGACTTGGTACACTCCAGACGCTTAGCCGGCAACGTCAGCGAGCACTGTCAGTCTTAGCACCACACAACAACTAGTCAAAGAGACAAGTGAAGCCGATCATTTTACCAATTGTCTGCTAAACAATCGTGCTATCTCTCTTTCCGCCCTGGGCTAATCACCAATCCTATATCCTCGCCTCAAGCCTTCAATATCACGATTTTTACTTGCTTATTTTAGTGTGTTATGGTGTGCCCTTTTGAGCGACTTTCATGAGAACTCTCCATACCCCCTTATTTCCTCACCCTTGCGCTGGGAATGCTGATCAGAATATGCCAAATTGTTACGCCCTCCTTCTTTCCTAGGTCTTATCTCAGTCTTCCTCTTGCCCCGTAGGATCCGTCTGCTATCTCCTTTGTTCAAGTAGTTCACTCAACCCTTGCCACCCCATCTCTGCTACTCGAGGCGTTATTACCCATCCCCTGCGTCTGCTTACTTTGATTTGGTTTAAGGTTGAACCACAACGTTTGATGGGTTGACACACAAAAAACTAGGGCATAGCAAGTCATAGACTTGGTATTAGGGATAGAAACAGGATAGACGCGGCGGAGAATGGAGCTAGTTGGTTGAACGTAGGCCTGTTTTATTGCCATAACCGTGGTCCCTGAAACAAAGGCTTGACCATGAGACTTATTTGGGACCTTTAGCCTTAAGAGCGTCTAGCAGACACATGGGCTGGGTCAGAACGCCTCGATTAGCACAAATGGGGTGGAGGAGTCGAGTGAACTACTTGAACCAGGGAGATAGCAGACGCATCCTATGGGGCAAGAGGGAGACTCTGATAGGATCTAGGAAAGGAGGCCTGCGTAACAATATAGTAGACCCTGGTCAACACAAAGGTGGGGGAAATGAGGCGGTGAGAAAGTCAGCGTCGAGTATGGAAAGTTCTCATAAAAGTCGCTCAAAAGGGCACACCATATCACATTTAAATAAGCAATTAAATTATTGTGATAGTGGAGGCATGATATGAGGATATAGGATTGGTGAATAGCCCAGGACAGAAGGAGAGATAGCACAACTGCTTAGCACACATTTGTTCAAAGGATCGGCTTCACCTGTCTCTTTGACGAGTTGTAGTGTGGTGCTAAGACTGGCAAGACTTACTGACGATGCCGGCGAAACGTCTGGGAATGTACCACGTCCAC